CCACAACAATAAAATAAATACAATAATAAGATGACAACAAAACAAAGAAACGGGCGCAAATAATAAAGCAGCTTTACCTTAAATGATTCAATTTGCCACACACCCAACACACACACACTCAGCCAAAACCACAATTGAATTAGCGATAATTGAATTTTGCGCTGTCGCAAACGATAAACATCAGCAGCAACTCGGCCAAAAAACTCAGTAGCCAACTCAAAATAATTCAATAAAGCGCATTAAATTAAATAATATGTTTAATATGTTAAAGAAAATCAAAAGAAAAACGCAAGTTGTGAGCGAATTTTCATGTGTTACATGACAAAATAATATAAAATACATTTTGTTATACTTTTAAAATTAATTTCGAATTGGAATTTTTATATATATTTTTGAAGTTTTAATGAGTTAGTTCTGCCTGAGAATTTGTTTAACTAAAAGCATTTTCTTAAATGTTTCTTTCACAAACTTTGAATCTTTATTATATTAAAAACTGGTAACGAAAATTTGATTTTATATATTACAAATTTGCATAAGCTTGTTCAGAGTTTTGATTAAAATTCTTTATTATTTGAATCTTACAGTTTCAAGATATATATGAATTGTAGTTCATCAAAACATTTTACCAATGGTTGATCAACATTTTATATATTAAAGAATTGTATAATTTTTAACAAAGTTTTGATTAAAATTCATCCTAATTTGATCAATTTTGTGGCCTCAAAGCGCGTCAAGTCATATTTATGCATATTTTTTAAAGATTTGACTGGCATTCTCTCAGCTTGGGGCAAACAACAATCAAATGGCAAAGGAAGAAAAGCCTTTGTGTAGACCCAGACACTAACTAACTGACTGTCCGACTGTCTGACTGTCTTGACTCTCTGACTGTCCGAGTGACTGACTGTGTGTCTATTTTGCATTTTTATAAGGCACAGTTGCATTCGAGTCTGAGGGGTATTTAATTGAACAAGTGAGCACTTTATTAAAATGTCACTCAACGTGTTTAGTTGGGCGTGAGAAAAAGGGCGGGGGGGAGCAGGGGGTATGCTGGCGACGTGGCCTGTGCAAATTTCATTATCGTTGTGTCAGGCATTTGACAGCCGGTTTCACCTACATTTAACGGCAACTGAGCTGCAGCTCAGCTTACCTATGCATATTTAATAATATTTTTGGTGCAGCCGAGCAAAATTTGCAACTAATCCGCAGGCAGTCGGCCGGCAAAAGCAACCCAATAAAACAGCAACAAAAACAGTTAACTAGAAACTAGACAGAGAGAGAGAGAGAGAGAGACAGGGGGAGAGCGAGAGAGAGAAGTAGAGAACTCGTATATCATTTGGGGCCATTTCCCTGACCCCGGACAACAATGAGGGTTCTCGGGTTCGGCTTGGCTAACAAGAAACACAACAGCCAAACACACTGGCAACAAAAAGTTTGAAATGAAAAAGCAGTCAGCATATGAAATGAGTTTATTACTCAAAATGTTCCAACACACACACACACACACACACACATGGACACACACACACACATGCACATAGAACTAGGAAACTGCGACTCGCTTTAAGTGGCATGCAGCGAGGGTGAAGGGAACGGATGACGTCCTAGTTGGTTGGCTGGCGGGTTGTCGGTTGAATACGGCATGATATGGTATGATATGGTGTGGTCGGGTTGGTAGCAAGGTTGGTTTCAAGATTGGTTGGATAGGATGGTTGACTAGTTTGTTAGCGGGTCGCTGCCTGCTGCGTGCCTGTTGACGGCATGCGTCCAAATAGTTCCATTTGTTTATAAAATATTTAAAATAAAGCAAATTGTGCGCTGCTTAATCAGAGCGCATGTAAGCCTTTGTGTGTGTGTGTGCGATAATAATTCGCAAAATGGCGGAAACATTTATGCAACGTCACCGTCAAACTGCTATGAAAAGGAAATGCGCCAAAATAGGACAGTGTTAATTGAGCGCGGCGAGACAACAACAACAACAACAAGGATAACAAGGACAACAGCCAGAACGAATCGGATGTGTTTTTGCTTGGGCTGCGGAAATTGGTTTATAGATCTATCGTATAGATACGTATTTAGCCGCATCCAAATTGTAAATTGAAGATGCGCACGTGCATTGCATATGCAAATTGTTTGTCGTCCTTTCCTGAGTACCTGAAATTGCTTTTACTTTGACGCCTCAAACCCAAATCGGAGACCCACCCAACAGCTGGACGAGGGTTCACTTTCAAGTTGAACAAGTGTCGAGGTGAAATATTCAAAATATATTTCACAAAACCAATCTCAACGCTTTACTCTCTGTGAACAGGGCATGAAATGTATTTGGCTTAAAGTTGTGCATTTTATTAATTATTATTAGCTGCAGGTGACAGCAGGCACTTTAATTAATTAATAATGCATGTACACCTAATTCTCTTTTGGTTCCAGAAAAATCGAGTAAAAAAAACCGTGTAAAAAAAAATATTGATCGTATGCAAATATAGGTGATTAGTTCCCTTTCTCTAAAACCTATTAAAATGAGTGAAAAACAAGGACTTTTCTAAGTACAAGTATTCATGTTTATTTTATTAAATCACATATATAATGTGTATTTACACAAGAATAGTTATTTGAGAAAAAAATAGATGCTTAAAAGTAATGTAAATTAAATGTATGACAAGTTCAGGAACTAAAAACAATGATGTAAAACAGTTATTTTGTTAACAAAAAGAAAAGGTTATTCAATTTTTAAGGTTAAAAAATAATTGCTCCGACAAGTAAAATTGCTTGTAAGGGAATTCCCCTAAGTTTGTGATATGAACATATAAAATTAAATTTGACAAATTGAAGTCCAAAACATTTTGAAATTGTTTAGCATCGTGTAAACAAATTTAAAAAAATATTATTTTCAAACCGTGTAATATCAGAATTAGGTGTATTGTTAATTATTAATTTGATAAGCTTTTGTCTTATTTTTGGCTCTATCTATCTATCCAGTTTTTTTTTCTTCAGAAGAAACCAAACTGCCCTCGCTGCCGTAGAGCACATTAGCTTTTATTATTCGCTGTGACAGCTGAGTTTATTTAATTGAAAATGCATGTATTGTAAATTATTAATTTGTTTAACTATTTAAGAGAAATTGATGTAGCCGAACCGCAATGAAAAATAGATAAATATCTTTTGTATATTCTAATCTTATTCAGAAGAAACTAAACTGCCCTCGCTGCCGTAGAGCACATTAGCTTTAGCCTTTAGCCTTTAGTTTTAGTTTCAGCATTTTTTCGCAGCAATTTCTTCCAGTTCGGTCGGCCGGCACATAAAAACGTTGGGGCCTGCCTGTTAAGAGAGAGAGAGAAGAGGGGGGGGGGGGGCTGCGTTGCAGTTGGGCGTGGCCATTTGGCTGATGTGGCAGGTCGTTGGCTGTATTAGCTGCAAGCGGCTCAAGTGCAAAATCGAATTTACTCGTTGCCAACAGCATTTCGTCTTAGCAGCCAAGTGAAGTAAGTACCTCAGCGCATTCCCGTCGACCGTCGACCAGACGCTGTCAGTGGCACTTTCTCTTCCCCCACTCCCTCACACCTCCTCTACTTCAGCTCCTTTATCCTTAAACGCAGCGACGATGCCGATAAGCGCTTGCAACATGCGTGCCAAACACACGTGAGCGCTCAAATGTTGGCAAACAAAAAAAACAAGGTACCAAAAAAACCAGACGAGAATAGAACGGGCAGCGGTCTGGGGGTATGTGTGTGTGAGTGGGAGGGATGAAGGGAAGAGGTGGCTGGAGGGAAGAGGGGTCTAAGGGGCAGCATCAGCAGCACCTTTGCCTTTAACTCGGCTGTGGCTCCGCCTGTGGCTCTGGCTGTGGCTCTGCCTGCCACCGGCTTCTCTGCTATTAGTTTTCGCCACTTCTTGTTCCGCTTCCCGTTCCCATTCCCATTCCCAGCTGCTCGCTGTTGCTGTTGTTGTTTTTGTTGTTGGTTTTGTTGTTTAAGTGCAACATGAATTGTGAATACCAAGGAGCCGTCCACATTGCTGCCCCGAACTTCCCCTGCTTGCTGCTCATCTGCATGCAGCTGCCAGCCTGCGTCCCTCTCTCTCTCTCTCCACTCTCCCTCCCTCTGTTGTTTTTGTAGCTGTCGTTAGTGCTGGCCACAGAACTAATACACTGACAATGTTCTTCCACCTGTGTAGGCAGGTGTGCCCTGGCATGTGTGTGTGCGTACAGTTGACTATGTATCCAAATGTTTGTTAGTCTTGTTATGGCCCGTACTAAGATATATGGCAGCTGCCAAAAGATGCAAAACATGACTTTTCTATATGCACGAAGGCAGAACCATTTCCCGCTGTGCGCTTGCCATGCTGGAAACCACATATCTAAAAAAAATATAAAGAGAGAGAGAGAGAGAGAGAGAGAGAGAGAGAAAGAGAGGGAGAGAGAGAGACAGGAAGTCTGTTCGCAATGGCTATGACAGCTTTTGCTATCGTTATTATGTATTTAGCAGAATGGCACTTATTATGATATTGAACAGGCGCCACGCCAGGAAATTGCAGTTCTCCATAAAAATCAACTGAAATCCATTGTAGAACAGAATGAAAGGTAACATTTGTGGAACAGCAGAGAAGAAACAAGTTTGGGCGGATCTAGATAGGAGGAGATTGTCCTTTAATAAAAGGAAGGCCCTACTGGAAAATCTTACGATATTGAACAGACTCCACGCCAGGAAATCGCAGTTCTCCATACAAAATCAACTGAAATCCATTGTGCTTTTGAATACACATACTAAATGGAACAGAATTAAAGGAAACAATTGTTGAACAGCAGAGATGAAACGAGTTGGAGGGATCTAGATAGGAGATTGTCCTTTAATAAAAGAAAGGCCTTACTGGAACATCTTCCCGCTTGAGGAAAAATTAACGAGGCACCTCGCCAGGAAATTGCAGTTCTCCATTAAAATCAACTGAAATCCATTGTGGAAGAGAATGAATGAAAATATTTGTTTAGCAGAAAATAAGAAAAAAGTGTTGTTTTTAGTTAGGAGATTGTCCTTTAATAAAAAAAAGGCTATACGGGAAAATCTTGCCGTCTTGAAAATTAATGAATATTTGAGCGAGCGTAAAAAGAATGCCTCTAAAGGGCTGTTGGGGTAGTATTGAATCCAGTTATAACCATTAAAGGCTCTCCGAGTAGCTTCGCTGCGACCGAAAATCGAGTAGTACTTTTTCGCTCTGACAACTTGGACTCTGTCGTACTGATGCGTAGGGTCAAGCGTCTGTGCTCCCAGCGAAGTTTCTTGACGGCTGCCCGCTTCAGCTGCAAGAGCTCCACCGTTCTATCGTAGTCCTCCATTAGGATGGGATAAAGCATCAGGGAGCCCGAGGTGCGGATTTTGTGCAGCTCCCTGACAAATCGGTTGTGCTTCAGCTTGCACTGGTAAATGACTTGTCGATGGTGGCGCCTCGATTGCTCGCATTCCGTCTGCTTCTGCATCATGTCCAGGTAAAGTTGGCGGCACATGTGCTCCTTGCACTTGACATGGGCCAACGCATGTATATCAAAGTTGATTTTCCCATGCAGCCGATTCAGCTCAGCATCGCGTTCTGCAGGGCATATGTGTGGAAATGTGGTTGGAATAGTTGGCAGACTTACCTGCGATTTTTGTGCCCAGCACATGGACATCGGACTGCTTGTTGAGATACTCTTGCATTTTGAGTCCATCGCCCAGATCCTCCAAGACCTCGGATTTCTATCGGTTGGCATACATTAATACAAGAGCCCAAGCTCTGCCCCTTACCAGCTACAACAAGTAAGAGGTTCTAGTCGGGAGCTCCCGACTAGGGGATACCCTGAACCCTCTTCTTCCGACAGGCGATAGGTATAAAATCAAAAATACTTGATATATATACTAATCTAGAAACTACATGTCGAGTTTGGTGGCTCTAGCTTAAAAGTCTAGCTCTTATAGGTTCTGAGATCATTGCGTTCATACATCCGGACGGACGGACAGACATACGGACATGGGTAGATCGACTCGGCTGTTGATGCTGATCAAGAATAAATATACTCTATGGGGTCGGAGATGCTTCCTTCTGCCTGTTACCTACATTTGCACAAATACAGTATACCCTTTTTACCCATTTTTAATGGGTTCAGGGTATAATAACAGTCTTACAATCTGCATTTCGGCGAAGCGATGTAGCGCATAGAGCAGCTCCAGTCGCAGCTCGGACAACTCATCCCGAAAGTGCCTCATGCTAGTAAGGACCTCGTTCACCATGCCCGCTAAATGAGTAAAGCTGTCGTTGGCGAGGAGAGTCGTTCGCACCAGTTGCTCGAAAACCTGAACCTTCTGATCGCTGTAAATGCGCGTTTTTTCAAGTTCCTCGGTCAGCTTGAGCGACTGCAGTTGGGCCAGATCAAATGTTCGATTATGGACCTCCAGCAGTCGGTCAAGCTCGACAAGGGAACTCTGCCGGCGCTGGTAATTGAGGGCGTCGAACGTCTTGGGGATTTTCACGAATATGAAGAGTTTCTTGCGCACAAAATGATCTGCGACCCGCTGCTCCAACTTTGTCTTCAACAATTGCTCTTCTTTAAATTGTTGCATCAGCGGGATGAGCTGCCTGATCAGCTTGTCCTTATCAAGCAGGCGCCGCAGCCGCACAGAATCCTGCTCGGAGTGAGCTACAGTTCGTTGGACTAGCTCCTCCAGGAAATATTCGCTGGCATCGATGGCTGCTTGTCGCTGATTTTCGGCATTTGCGTCTAAGAAATTGACCATACCCATTTTACTATTGCGAACGACAATTGAAGTTAGGGTTCTGGCGATATCCTTATCTTCATCTACTTCAGCAATTTGTTTCGCACTGATACGAAACAGTTCATAATCGCCGTCACTTAGGCTATCGAGGTTCAAAAGCGAGTGGCTGGTGGAGGAAACGATCTCAGAGCTGGATTCCTCCTCGACTTGTTCTACAGCAGATGTTGTTTCTTGGTGTTTCACGCTAGGCTCAGGGATTTTCAAGGAGGAATTTTCAGAACCTCCATCCATTGGAGGTACAAAATGTCCGTCAGTTTCATCCTGTTTTTTGCCAATGAGCGACGAATAACTACCTTCCGATATGTCATCAATATCTGGGATTTGCGCCAGAAGTGCAAGTAGGCTATTCCGCTTGAAGATCATCTCAACTTTATCCTTAGAATCCCGACTAACTGACAAATCGGGGGGCGTGCCCGACAGCTCTGACAATGAATCCTCATCTGAATGAAGTATATCTGTTGGTTTCTTTTTCAATTTGCCTAATGATCTCTTCGATGACGATCTCTTTTTTGCTTTCCTTAGCGTGCCCCAGATTTGATTTGGGTTTGAGTCCTTGGCAGGTGCAGTTTTTGAGTCCCTTGTTATTGAACGGGATCGCGATGAAGGTGAGACCTGACTGCTCCTAGATGATCGGCGACTCGCAGACCGACCCAGACTGCCCCTAGATGATCGGCGACTCGTAGACCGACCCGCTTGGGGACTGGGCGTTGATAAAATGCTCGCATCACTCATTATACCACTCTTGCTCAATAGGGGATTGGGCGATTTAGCCTGGGAAGTCTTGTGTGTGACGACCTTAGAGGCTTTTACCTTTTTCTTTTCCTTCGACTTTGTGGAGGTCCCACTCTGTTTACTTATTTGCGAGACTGCGCTGGTAGACTTAATCGAGCCCGATTGAGTGCTCGCAGGTGGATCTGTGGACTTGGCGGGCCTAGCCTTCTTTCTTTCCGTCTTCAAGGAGCCCTTGCTGCTTATTGGCTGTTGGATAGGTGAAGCTGTTTCTTTGCGTTCCTCTGCGGTGGCCGTGCCCGCGTTCGGACTCACAGAGCCTGGCGTATTCGCATCAGCTAGATTGTCCAAGTTGTCCAAGTGATCCAAGTGATCTTTATCTCGCAAATCTATATTTAGAACTGAAAGCTGTTCGGTAAGCTCCAACATTAAGTCCCGTGTGGGTTCGCTAACTGGTTGAATTAAAGGTTTCGCTTCTTGATCATTTAATTGCCCAATCGGTTCGTCTTTAGCTGCCACCACTGGATCATCATGCGGAGTATCCTCCATGGGCACCGAAGGCTCCCCCCCTGGAGGCACAATAACCGCCTTGTTTTCTTCAGTTGCATCCATTTCGCCGCTCATGCATTAGTTTGTTTGAAATTCTTCAATATTTGCAGAAACAAAAAAAAAACAAAACAAAAAATAAACTACTCAACAGGCAACAAAATATGTTTTGAGGTATATTAAAAGAATTAAAATCGAAAATTTAATGTTTCATACAAAAGTAACTGAGTTTACGTTTTTAAGATTTTTATTTGTAGCAGCTCTTTGAGCACCTTGCAACCATATCAGATTATCGAAATGCCGTCAACAAGAAGTTTTCACTTTAGCCAAAACCGAGCCCGATTCGAAGTCAGTCAACCCACTAACAACTTCTTGTGGCACTACACACACAATTACCGCAACGAAAACGAGCCCCAGCCCAAACCAGCCCAGCCCACCCCAAATGCTGTCCAAGGCCCACAAGGAACCCTTCCTTCCTTCTACCTTTCGCTCTGCTTCTTTTTCTGGCTAGCTGGCTGACTGACTTGGCAGTACCCAACCCTCGCTCCCAGCACGTTTCTGGCTGGCCTGTTGTTGGTTAATATCATCACTCATGTATGCCGCATACTAAAGAGAATTTATCATGTCTGCTGCGGCAGCTGTAAAAAAAACGGAATAAGACCGAAGGCAGCAGCTCTCGAACGGGTTTCGCTGCTACCATTGTCGCTCAAGTGTTTCGCCAGCCCAGCTACTATACTGAGAAATCTATCCATATATATGGGATATATATTTATATACATGTGTATTTATATATGTAGAAGCTGTGTGTGTGTGTGTGTGTGTGTGTGTGTGCCTGTGGCTTTGGCTCTGAAGTTTCAGCTCACCTGCTGCTGATGCATACTCACAAATTCGTTTACGTTCACGTTGCCCCCATCTGCTAAGTAGATTTCGGGCTACCTGCATGCAGTCAGCTCGTTACAGCTGCAGCGCTGGGGGAATATCTCTCTCTTTCTCTCTCTTTCTCTCTCTCTCTCTCTCTTCTTCTACTTTTTTTTTACATGCATATATATTTTTTTGTCGTCCTGCTTTCGGTTGTTGAGCGGATTTTGGCAAATTGCCTAAAACTTTCTTTATATTTGATGTAATGAATTCCTGACGTGCTGTCGTCGCTCTCGTTCACGTGAGAAATGTTTTCACTAATGCAGAGTGTGCAACCCCCTTCCGCTCTGCCCCTGCCAAATGCCAAATGTATCTATAGATACAACACCTGCATTGCCAGCGACAAAGAACGCCAAACGCAAAGCAACAGCCACACATTGCGTATGCGTAATGTGTAACAGATATGCCCGCTAACGTTCCTCTCTCACTCTTTCTGTTCGCTAGCCACATGTGTGTGCGTGTGTGTGTGTGTGCGTGTGTGAGTTCCGTTTCCGCAATTAAAATGTTGATTACATGAAGTACGACTGCCGCTTGTTTGTTTGCCGCTGCTGTGGGCGCTACAAAGGAAAACGGAAATTATGTGTATGCGGGCGCTAGCGCTTAGCTGAGCTGCGGCACCAAAACCAACACTCTGAACAATGGTTACAACAACTGGCGCATAAATTTTAACCATTCGCTTGTCTGATAAGATTTGCCAGCTCCGCTCGCTTTTGTGTCGTCAGAGAACTGGGCCACAATTAGGCGAGCAAATGAGACAAAGCGATAAAAATATTGACAAATACACTCTCGATAAATAAAACAAAAACAGGAGCTGAGCAAAAATGTGATAGTACTGATCCTTACGTGTCCAAAGAGGTGTATCATTTAATAATCGGACCGAGACAATCATCAAACAAGTTTGACATCATGTTCAGTCCGTTTTTTTGCCAAAAAATCTTATGTAACCCTCCGATTGTTAATTTTTTTTAATGCCAATCGATGGTACTGATCCCTACAAGTCCAAAATGGTATGAAAAGTTTAGTTCGAAGAAACTCGTCGACTCGTCGTTCTGGGCATTTCTGTTCGCTTGGTATTTGAATGGAACTTAAGTGCAAATTGTCGACGGGGTCGCCCCGTTCGGGCATGCATTTCTGTTCGCCTGGTGTTTTTAGGAAATTGTAGTTAAAATTTGGGACCCAGCCAGCGAAGTGGTCGCCCCTTTTGGGTATGCAATAAAAAATTTCGGCAGCTAAACATACAATTTTGTCAACCTTCTGGGCATTTCTGTTCGCCTGGTATTTTGGCAGATTTTAAGAAAAATCTCGGCAGCTAGCGGTTGCCAACAAACGCCCCTCACGGGTATGCAATAGGTTTCTAAAGACAGTTGATTTTTGAATTTTTAAATAAAAAAACAGAAATTTCATTATTTATTTTAAATAATTGATTTATTTATGTTTAAATTTACAAAATTGTTGTTTTTTATGCTGATTTTCTGAAATATTTTTTTTTAAAAGTATACAAAACGAGCATTAATTATAATTGTTGCTTATTTAAACTTAATATAACTCAATCTGGCTTAATTAAAGACCGATCGTGGAAAATTTTGCTTTGTCATTCGTGAAGGTCCTTAAAGCTCATTGTAGTCCTTAAATTGTCAGTCTGAAAAGATAAAAACACATTTAAATTAAACAATTAAATAAATATATAAAAGCAGTTTATGTAAGGAAAATTCGCAAGGATTCAGCCGAGTTTAGGGCCTATTTTTAGTTTACAAAATTGCCCATAACACATTGATATATCTGACATTATTTGGCTGATATATTCCGCAAAAATCATTAGGCAATCGATTTTTAATTTTCTTGAATGCCAATTGATAGTAAGGATCCGTACGAATGCAAAACGGAATAACATTTCAAAATTGGACAGCATTTACCCGAGATATTCAATAAAAATCATCAAAACAGTTTCGATTTTCGAACCGACCCCGAATTTGAGAAAAAACGTGATGTAACCCCTTGCCATTTTGATGATTTTGGTCAAAATTTAGATTTTTATTTTTTTTTATGTCAATCGATAGTACTGATCACGTTTTTTCTCAAATTTGGGGTCGGTTCGAAAATCGAAACTTTTTTGATAATTTTTACTGAATATCTCGGGTAAATGCTGTCCAATTTTGAAATGTTATACCTTTTTGAATTCGTAGGGATCCCTACTATCAATCTGTATTCAAACATTTTAAAAATCGATGGGTTAAAAAAAGTGGATGACCAAAAACCGATTCATTTGTAAAGTCTACCTTTTTTGATGATTTTTTTTAATATCTCGGCCAAATAGTGTTCGATTTGGGAATTTTATACCATTTTGGACTCGTAAGGATCAGTACTATCGATTGGCATCAAAAAAATAAAAATCTAAATTTTGATCAAAATCATCAAAATGGCAAGGGGTTACATCACGTTTTTTCTCAAATTCGGGGTCGGTTCGAAAATCGAAATTTTTTTAATGATTTTTATTGAATATCTCGGGTAAATGCTGTCCAATTTTGAAATGTTATACCTTTTTGAATTCGTAGGGATCCCTACTATCAATCTGCATTCAAACATTTTAAAAATCGATGGGTTAAAAAAAGTGGTTGACCAAAAACCGATTCGTTTGTAAAGTCTACCTTTTTTGATGATTTTTTTGATTATCTCGGCCAAATAGTGTTCGATTTGGGAATTTAATACCATTTTGGACTCGTAAGGATCAGTACAATCGATTGGCATCAAAAAACTGAAAATCTAAATTTTGATCAAAATCATCAAAATGGCAAGGGGTTACATCACGTTTTTTCTCAAATTTGGGGTCGGTTCGAAAATCGAAACTGTTTTGATGATTTTTATTGAATATCTCTGGTAAATGCTGTCCAATTTTGAAATGTTATACGTTTTTGAATTCGTAGGGATCCCTACTATCAATCTGTATTCAAACATTTTAAAAATCGATGGGTTAAAAAAAGTGGATGACCAAAAACCGATTCATTTGTAAAGTCTACCTTTTTTGATGATTTTTTTTAATATCTCGGCCAAATAGTGTTCGATTTGGGAATTTTATACCATTTTGGACTCGTAAGGATCAGTACTATCGATTGGCATCAAAAAAATAAAAATCTAAATTTTGATCAAAATCATCAAAATGGCAAGGGGTTACATCACGTTTTTTCTCAAATTCGGGGTCGGTTCGAAAATCGAAATTTTTTTAATGATTTTTATTGAATATCTCGGGTAAATGCTGTCCAATTTTGAAATGTTATACCTTTTTGAATTCGTAGGGATCCCTACTATCAATCTGCATTCAAACATTTTAAAAATCGATGGGTTAAAAAAAGTGGTTGACCAAAAACCGATTCGTTTGTAAAGTCTACCTTTTTTGATGATTTTTTTGATTATCTCGGCCAAATAGTGTTCGATTTGGGAATTTAATACCATTTTGGACTCGTAAGGATCAGTACAATCGATTGGCATCAAAAAACTGAAAATCTAAATTTTGATCAAAATCATCAAAATGGCAAGGGGTTACATCACGTTTTTTCTCAAATTTGGGGTCGGTTCGAAAATCGAAACTGTTTTGATGATTTTTATTGAATATCTCTGGTAAATGCTGTCCAATTTTGAAATGTTATACGTTTTTGAATTCGTAGGGATCCCTACTATCAATCTGTATTCAAACATTTTAAAAATCGATGGGTTAAAAAAAGTGGATGACCAAAAACCGATTCATTTGTAAAGTCTACCTTTTTTGATGATTTTTTTGAATATCTCGGCCAAATAGTGTTCGATTTGGGAATTTTATACCATTTTGGACTCGTAAGGATCAGTACTATCGATTGGCATCAAAAAAATAAAAATCTAAATTTTGACCAAAATCATCAAAATGGCAAGGGGTTACATCACGTTTTTTCTCAAATTCGGGGTCGGTTCGAAAATCGAAACTTTTTTAATGATTTTTATTGAATATCTCGGGTAAATGCTGTCCAATTTTGAAATGTTATACCTTTTTGAATTCGTAGGGATCCCTACTATCAATCTGCATTCAAACATTTTAAAAATCGATGGGTTAAAAAAAGTGGTTGACCAAAAACCGATTCGTTTGTAAAGTCTACCTTTTTTGATGATTTTTTTGATTATCTCGGCCAAATAGTGTTCGATTTGGGAATTTAATACCATTTTGGACTCGT